GAATAGGAATTAGTGGAATAAGAGGATAATGTTAATTAATAACTATTGTGAATGGAAAATATGCGAATATTATATTGTAGAATGAACATTCATGTATATTTATTCTTTGTCTTTATTTTGAATTGCATCGTTTCGTTTGAATGCCAATTATTCGACGAAGAAATGTTTTTGCAGCAATTTCAACACGAATTTTGAGAAAAATAAACAATTTTCGTTATACTTGAAAAGATAAAAAAGATAAAAATGAATAAATTCTATGATAAATTGAAATATAAACGATAAAATTAAGCAAAGAAAGATATCTTTTAAACAGAAACTAAAATTTTAAAAAATTATCAATGTAAAATATTTACTTGCATTCAAAAATTTTGTTTAATAAACATATAAACTTCATTTTCTTAGAAGGAATAAAAGTCTTTTTATTAGGTTAAATTAGGTTCAATAATTTATTTTTCATAAGTAAAGCGAAAAATATATGAAATTTCAATAATAATTTTAATAAAATAGATGTGTGCAAAATATCGTAATATTCTTCCATTATTCACGTGCTGCAGTCATGACGAACGATATTAATCGCAAAACAATGATGAAAATAATGTAATATTTCAATGTCATCAAAAATTTTCATTTCTACAGATGTTTGAAAAATAAGAATTTAATTGTGATTAAATTATCATATTTAAAATTCTCCAGTCTGGACTGATATCACTCCATTATTCACATTTCACCGCTAATTAAACATAACAAATGCTACCAATCTCAAAACAATGCACCATTTCGTTTCATGAAATTTCATTTTCACGGATGGTTGAAAAGTAAAAATTTAATTTCATATTTAATAATCGTATATAAAATTCTTCTCGAATTTAACGATATCTTTTTATTATTAATATTTTCTTATTAATTATTTATTTTAAATTGTTAAAATTCAAGAAATTGTAGGAAATTTAATTTTAGTTGGATTAATCGTATATCAAATGATTTCTCTTTTATCCTAAAATTTTTCAATATTTTTTTATCATTTGCATTTTCATTATTGACAGATCAAGTGAAACACTTCTATAAAATAATATACGAAAAATAATATTTTATTGTATTCCATCAACATTAAAAAATTTTCACGAATTCTTTAATATTCCTCTATTATTCATATTTTCACCATTGATAAATCAAATAAAACATTATTTATTGCGATATATCTTTTAATTACATTCTACATTCAAAATGATAATAATAAAATCTTCAAATTTTTCTCATTTCAGTGATAGTGAAACTCATATCAACGTCAAATAAGATATTATTAATTTTAAAATAATAAACAATACGATATATTAATATACTATAATTCATGTTTATATAATATAACATATATTAACATTTCTCCATTCTACTTTATAACATTAAAAACAAAGATTGCTATCGAAAATATTTTACAATATTCACATTTCACCTTTAAGGGCATCACAAAAACTATTAATCCAAAAGCAACTATCATTGTTCACCCTTTAACCGGAAACTGAGAGTGAAACTGATTTCAACGCCAAATCCCTCGAGCTGTTCAAACAAAAAGGCAAAAGAAAATAAAAAAGATAAGCGAGAATACGAAGAAAGGAATCGAACAATCAAATATCGGCCGATAAAGAAGAGAAAACATTTGCAGAATGAATAATTCAATGTGAAAAGATGACAACGAGTTAAGCATCGCTTCTTGTTCAATAAATGGCTGGCTTTAATTATATTTCTCACTGTCTCGAATATGCACGATCAACGATGATCGTTTTACGATAACGGTTCGATCGGTAATAAAGTAACAATAATAACGTGGATATTAATGGCCACGAATCACGCGTCCATTTTACTTTGTCCCGTGTAATTATTCGAAAAAAAAGGATTGATTGATGAAATTTTCGAGGATTCCAAGATCTTTTATTACACTAACGATCTTTCGAGGGAAACGTTTGGAAAAATGTCACGCGTTGCACTGTGGTTCTAGATGAAGATTTTTTTTTTATCAGTTTTCTTTTTTTTTTTAAGGGTTGATTGGATTCTGTGGTGGAAAAAACTTGAGAATGAAATTTCGAAATAATGATTTGGTTTGGATTTTTTGATCTCGAAACTTTAAAATAAAATTATATTTCAAATTATTCAGAGGATATTTCAGAGAATGTTAAGGTTATGTTAGATTTTAGAAATTTACTTTTTTAGAAATTTACTTATTTTAGAAAACTACAATTTTTTGAATTTTTGTAATGATAAATATATTGCTTAAAGAATTAAGTGATAATTAAATTCGATCAAATCATTAAATTGATATATACTCGAAGAATTCGAAATTAAACAGAACAAATGAATAATAATGGAGATTTTGATATGAAAAATTGAGAAGCGGAAGTAAGCGTTTAATAAAATTTTGGAAATCTTTTCAATTGCAATTTGTTAATTAAAATATGTGTTTCATCAAGAATTTAACGATAAGATCAATCATAAAACTCTGTCAGAGATACTAATTAATTTCGAGATATTGATGTGAAAACTTTTTTTAATAAAGCAAGTCCTCATGAAAGAGGCAATTGTATGAATACAATAAACATACTCGTGATGCATAATGAATCTCGTTTTGGAGATAATGCTTTAATAAACATAATTTGTTTTAAAAATGGCAAGAAGTTATTTTAATTGATTTTTTTTTATCGTATTTTGAATTGCATTTGCATTGAAACTTTAGTTTTGAATATTTTGTATCATCGTAGATATTTTTTAAATAGTTACTCATTATTTGTAAATTAATGTATCAAATTATCAGGAATTTTTTAACAATTAGATTATAAAATAATAATTTTATTAGATAATGAATGGAGATATTTGTTTTATGAGTAATTTTAATTTTTTTTTAGAATTTTAACAAGTTAATTCTTAAAAAAATTAGATATAGATAAAATAAATAAATCTAAAAAAAGAAATCTATCATTTTAACAAGTTTGCTTGTTATTTTGATATAAAATTATTAAAGTTGATATTTATGTTTGGATGAATTTATAGAGAAAAATAATTCCAATATTTCTTGGATATTGATATGTTATAAAATGTAGAATTTCAATGTTCTTTAAATAAATTCAATCAAATCATTGAAGATGATAAGATAATAAATATTTTAAATAAAGCAATACATCTCATACAAACGTTTTATGATTATGAAATGACTAAGACATTAAAACATTAAAAATACGAATCATACAACAAATTAGACACATTTAGATTCATATAAAATAAATAATTCCAAAGGTCTATAATTACTGTACATCTGGAAAATAACCATAATTTCAACCGAGATACCAATTTGACCTGAGTTAATGATACATAAATTTCTACAAGTAGTTAGTTGCCTTAGTTCCCTCTTTCTCTGTATCTGTCCAATTAACTTGGTATTCATTTTCTAATAATAGTTTGCTCCAGAAAATCAGTGTTAATTAGAGAAGTTTTAGATACAGATATTGTAGGTGTTTGTATTTGTACTATTTGAGAATATTTGCATTTTGGAGAAGTTGAAAAATCGAATTTGTGTCGCTTGCAACGTGACTATGCAAATTTACATCTTCTTTAAACAAATCTAGACACATTGTACAATAGAAACTTCGTTACACGAACTAATTGAGGGATAAAGGTATTCACGTAAGAACAATTTCACGTGGGACAAGCATAACACATGATTTTATTTAATACTTTAAACAAAATATACTTCATATTACGAATAATGATATATGATATATAATATAGTTTATTATAATATAATATATATTATAATATATATATATAATATTAGATAGTTTAGAATATATGATATAGTTTAATAAAAATATGGTAAAAAAAAAAATCATATGATATCAAATTTGCAACGTTACATTGCTTTTACGTCTCAAATCATTCAAATTTCGTTTCTAAAATAAGTAATACATCATTCGTCATGCAGAAAAAAATAAATATATTACATTCTGTAATAGAAAATACACTATTTATATAATAGAACGGTTATATAATAAAATTTATATAACGGGTGTTCCTATAACGAAGACTCTATTATATATATAAATTTGTTTCACGATGAATAAAAAGATAAGTTAATAGTCATCAAATCTTTGTTACAGATATTATCATATTTATACGATAAAACGAAAGAATAGAGAAATTTAAGCTGATAATCTAATTGCACTTAACCATCATATTTCTGACGTATACACGTGTTTATTCTCGATGATAATGAAGTTTGAGCTGAAAATTGGATCAGATTTAACCATTCAACCGTTATGATTGTAGAATTAAAATTAATTAATCTTTTCATTTTACTAAATATATTAATAAATATACGTAATATATTACGTAATAATTTCAAAATCTCATTCATAAACTTCACCGATTTAATTATAAAAAAAACTAAAGTATATTTATCGTTATAAAAAGAGATTTAGATTCTCTAATACATTATCTACCTATTAGATCTGCTTAATAATTCGAAGAAAGCGAATTTTACATTTTCATAAAATCAAATGAATTTTAAATGAGATGAGATTAAAATATATCCTATTAATATTAACAAAGAAATAAAATTAAATTGTTAATTTTTCCAATAATTAAAATAATTAAAATAAATTGAATACATACTATATGACTTTTACTATATTGACTTAAAAACCCTCTTTATTTTTAAAATAAAATTACATCAAAAATTCAAAATTAAAACACAATTCCATCTTATTGCATTCACCCAACAATTCTTTTTACTCTAAATCAAGTTATTTGCAAAAAACAAACTTATATACATCACAATCATTATATTTCCAAATCCAAAATTTCTAAAACTTAAAACAAAAAGTTATTGTATTCTTTATTATATTCGCTCAAAAATCCTTACTTACCTTAAACATCTCAAATTATTTAAAAAAAAAAACAAAAATCCCACTCAAACCCAAACACTCCCAACCACCATAACCAAACCATCCACTCACCACGATTTTTCCAAATTCAAAATTCTTCCACACTCAAAATAAAAGATACAATTCCATCTCTTCTATTCATTCGAGATCGTTTCCACAAAAAGAAAAAAAGAAAAAAACAATCCCAAACACTACGACTCTTGGAATCTTCCAAATCTCGTCAAACACTAATAAAAAGAAAAGAAAGAAAGAAAAAAAAAAAATCTTCTCGATCGATCTCGAAAAATCGATCTATTATTTCAACTTCAATATCTCTCCCTCACCATGAGATCCACAGGCGAGATAACACATGTTCTTCTGCACATACCCGGATCAACCGAGGCGTGGAGGAAAAATTCAAATTGGCTCGATTTTCTACGTAATGCGCGGCACTTTGCCGCGCGATCGGTAAGCAGAGCGGTACGAGGAGGGAGTCGCGATCGGCCAGAGTCCCTCGGGACTCCCGAAAGGGCCGAGAGAATCGTCGTGGACGCGCCGCGGGTGAGGAGCGCACTGAGGATCCGGGAGCCACGGTGCCACTGCACGCGCATGCACCACAGAAATTCGCATATCCTCTCCCTCCCGCTGCCGGCACCGCCGCTCGTTCCGTCCTTCTTTTTTGTTCGCCGGATTCATCACTTTTTGTCCCTTTTTTTAGAGAGGTGGGCTCCGTTTGAATTTGTTTTGATGCCTTGAAATTTTTGGAAGGTTTTAGAGAAGGATTGTTGATATTATTTTATTCCTTTTAGAATTGAAATTTTATTATGTTATTATTTTCATTCGAATGTTTTTTTCTTTGTTGAGAAATTTTTTATTTTTGTATAATTATGTATTCGAATTAATTATATTAATTTATATATATTTATTTTAGATATAAAATGTAGCGTAGAGTGAGCATAATAGAAACTTATTGCTGTATTTGAATATTCTTAAGAGTGAGTGATTGTGATACTTGTGATGTTATACTTTATTTTATACTTTATTTTTAAGACAGAATATTTTACTATAGATATATCGCATATTATTTTTGAACCATTAGACCTCGTAGTTTGAAATTAAATGCTTATTAAAAATAGATTTCAATATCTTATGCGAAGAATATTTTAATGCTACTTATATTGTAATTAATTATAAATTACAATTCAAGGTTTAAAAAATTCTTTTGATAATAAATTTCTTTGTTAAAATTATAATTTTTAATAAAATAAAATTTATATATTCTTATATATTTTATTTGATTATGAAAGGATGAAAACCCTTTGATAATTTATTATGTAACTAATTATATATTTGACGCAATTTAATATAAAACAAGCTGTCGTTATTTTAATCTTCATTACTGTTATACTGTATGTCATAAAATATTATTACTACATGATGTTCATGCATCATGTTATTACAAAACGATCAAATTTGGATATTCATTTATTTTTAACAGAACAAGATTTAATTATGATATTACGATTAAATGAACTTATATACGATTATTTTATTCTTCATAATTATCAAAGTTGTATATAATTAAGTAATATTATGACATGATAAAGTCGATTTTAAAAAAAAAGCTATAAAACGTTTTATTGTTTCATAAATTCTTTACAACTTGTAATTATTTTATTTTATCATTAAATCAATTATCCGATGTGATAAAACAAAATAATTATAATAATTATATTATTATATAATATGTATCATTAACACAATATTTATTTTGTAAATGGATATTATATTACATTTAAATTACAAACAATCCACTAATTTCATAATGTTATAAACATTAATTTGTCATAAAGTTATAAACATTAATAAAATTCATAATTATATTTGAGGAAGAATTTAAATGCTTGTTGTAGATAGTTTAACTTTATTTGAATTTTGTATATCATTCTGATTACAATACATGCTTTTTACACTTAAAAAAATTTGAAAATAAATACCAATTTTTAATGTATATTGATTTAAATGAAAAACTAATTTTGTGGATGTGAGCAAATTTTTAGAAAATTGGAAGAAAATAAATTTGAAATGGTTGTTACAGGAAGTTGAGTTTGTTTAGGTTGTAGTAAAACTTTTGAAGTAATGTTGACAGGATCTTAAGAAGATTTACTATCTGAAGAAAAGTTTCAACCAGAGCTCATCAAATTCTTACTGCAGAAATAGTTTGATTTTATTTCTTTCTTATGCTATTCATGAAATTAATAGTTTCTTCACTTAAATAAAGACTTAAACATTAATGTAAAACAAAATTAAAAAATTAGTAAATAGAAATTGATTTTTAATTATTCTTAAAAAATTATAAATAAGTTATAAATTTTTCTTTAGTAAAATATTACAATTTTCTCTCTTTTCATAACATTTTTTGAAAAATGTATTTTCTAATAGTATGTATTTTCTAATAGTTTTCATTAATTTTTTAATTGCAATAATTACAAAATTTAACGAAATTAAAGGAAAATTTTATAAATTATTTTAATTATATAATGTTAATATAATATTTTATGCTTTTAATAATTAAATAAATTCATTAAGAATTCTTTAAATAAATTAATGAGATATATTTTGATTTACAATATTAAAAATTTACAATATTAAAAATTGTATATTTCTTTATCATTATTTATCACAAGGTTCAATATTTTGAAACTCTTCTTATTCTGTTTATTGTGTTCTATCTTTGTTTCTTTTGGTCTGAATTTTGAATCTTGATATTGACTAAAACATAAGAAGCATTAGAATAATGGTAATGGCATGAGAATATTGATTGTAAGAAAGAAGATATGCTGAGAATGAATTTACAAGGATTTAAGAGATATTTGAGATGTTTCTTGATTAAATTTTCTATCAATTAATTTTTTATTAGCTGAGAATATTTGCTTATCTTCAGATTTTGATTTTACAAATATTCTACATGTTACAAATATTCCTAAATTTATGATTTTTTTTTGAATCACAAAAAGTATTAGCAAAACACATATCACATGCCACATCATTTAAATATTCTAATTATAGTCAATTTTCTTTAATATTAAAAAAGAAAAATTCATATTTAGTTATCAATTTAATATCAATCCTTTTATATTATTATCCTCAATTAAAATCAAACACTTAATTAATCAATCAATCATCAACTTATTTCTTTTTATTTTTAAAATAATATTATTTGTATCTAATTATTAAATATTTTCTTTCTTAAAATTTCTTCTTATTTAGAATATGTATTTAAATATCTTTAATTAATTTAATTTTGATTATTTTTAATTTAATGATTATTCATTTCTGTTTTAATTATTATTTTAATTTTTATTAATAAAAAAAAGTAACAAAATAAAAATACCACGTTAAAGTACATCAATTCAATTACAATTTTTCCTTTTTTAAAATATTGTTAACTACCCATATTAATTACTAAACATTTTTTCTAGAATATATGTTTGTATAACATAATTAAGAAAAAAAGTAAGTGAAACAAAGATTCACGTTTAATTATCTCAATTACTAAGAGCCAACCCCCTCGTTTTTGAAATGTGACACGTTATCATTGCTCGATTCCAACAATTTCATTTACTACCACATCCTGTCTCTATTTATTTCCCCTTCCATCATTTCATTTCCACCCTCCTCCCCCATTTTTTTTATTCTCCATTTATTCTGCACCCTTTCTCTTCTTTTTTAACCTTCCATGTGTTGCAATCCACCCCCGCAACCACATCTCACGTGAATCTACATTCTTGAAATATCGTCATTCTTCATATCTCTTTTTCGTTTTTCAGTTTTGTCAATTTGAAAGTTAACAACAGTTTGAAAATAATATTAAAATCTATTTTAAAAATTATACGATTTTGGAAAGAGAACATGTTTGATTTGAACAGTAGACAATTGGAGGATTGTTTTCAAATATTATGAAATAAAGTGCAATAAATGAATTGTTATACATATTGAAAAATATATATATATATATATTTGTAAATTCAAACTTTAATAAATTAAAAATTGATCTAGCACAATCAATTTAGATCACAAGTAGTGAGGTAATATAACTTTTATATATAATAGATTCTCACTTATATAATCTCACTTTAACTGATCAACAATTGCCATGAGAATTGATAGTATATTAATTATTATTTTAATATCATAATATTCTAAATTTAGATTCTATATATATATATATAGAAAATTTTATATTTTATTTTATTTTATTTAATACAAACTATAAATATAAAGTCAAATTAATTAGCCATTCGTTTATCCAATCAGAGGTTCCACAGGGGATAAAGAGAATCTACTGTATATTATTATATTAATTGTTTAGTATTATAGTATTATATTTCCATATACAGCAATCATCTTCGTAACACTATACTGTAATGGTATATCTATTATAACTTCTACGAAGTTAGCTTTATAATCTCGTGGGGAAATTATACGTTATTTAACGTGGAATTTATGTTATATTATTTTCCATTATCGTACAATATTTGTACTTTCAATTATCGTTTTTTTCCTTTAATCCATCTTATCCTTCAATTCACCTATAACTATAAAACTTTTTTGCACTAATCATAATTTTTAATCAGATCGAAAATATAATCCCCAATCCAATTCTAAAAATCAATATTTATAATCTTCTTCTTCTTCAACCTTCCTTCAATCCTATCTTCAATTCTTCCAATCTGATTCCACAAAATAAATTCCAAATTTAATTTAAAATTTCTTTCTTAATTCAAAATTCCAATTTTCCATCTAATTAAAATATAAACCACCAACTCTTCCATCAATTTCAAAATCAATTCTAAAAATTACATAAATTACAGATCTCTTTCCAATTCCTTCACATTTCAATTCTTTGAAAAAAATCCCCAATCCCCAGCGATCAGGGGAACCTAATCACTATTCACCTGACTAATTGCACGACTTCTGTCTGAAACAGCAGGAGCAATTGAGTTCTCTTCCTGAAAGGAATCGCGGTTGTTCTTCACGGGCAGGCTTTATAATGGGGTAACGGGATAACAATGGCGGCGGAACAAGGGGCAAAACGAAGTTGCAAAGGCTCGGCCAACCTTCCATTAATCGGCCACGTTGCTCGTTATTAAGCCGGCGAGTTACTCTTTCCTGGACGGATAGCAAACATTTTATTCCTTATTCCGGTCGAAAGGAGAAATTCCTCGGCGAGCTTCTCCCTTTCGAGTCGGAAAATCGAGTTAATTAATGTTAATTGGCCCGGTTTCAAGATGAATATTCAAGAAAACGCGATAAAGTATAGG